GAGCTGGATGAGCACTCCTGGAAGTGTTATGGAGACCGGTGTGATGAAATGCACAAGGCTGCTGCTTCCATGCTGCTTGCCAAACGCATGCTCTGGGGCTCCTGGCTCTGTCACCTCTGCTGTTACATGGGCTGGGTGGGTACATCCATACAGCCCTGCTGCCTTGGTGACTGGTTTGCAAGAATGGGCACCCAGGAGTACATTTTTATGAGACAATGCCAACTTGACAGCTTAGCCATCGCTCAGAGCACCCTGCCTGCAAGACACCTTGTCCTAGTTCTGTGTAGTTGTATACAGGGCATAAAAAAGGGCAAAGTGGGCTTTGTCTGGTTCCAGGTACCCTCTGATACGGAGGAGGAGCTGGCAGGAACTGTGGAAGAATCTTCATGGTCAGTGTAGTTACTTTGCAGTAGCTGTCTGTCCCCCTCCACTCCCCAGGTCACCATGGACAAAGGTGAAGTTGGAGAGACTCAGTTTGCTTTGTATAAAACTTGGTGAATTGTTTACTTGAAGAGAACAAAGCCTCGGGCTTGCTTTTGTAGGAAAATAGCCCAGAATAGCTATTCCTTACTGCCTGGGAACAGTTTACCCTGGCAGAGCTTGGGCAAAGATGAGCTGCCACCTGCTGGCTCTGGCAAGCTTTGAGCTAGGGAACGACTGCCGAGTCCAGGGGCAGGAGAATCTGGCTCGTGTACCCCACCCAGGTTGGACATCTGGAAGGTTCAGGTGGGTTTTGGGAGCTTTCCGCTAAGAAAAGCGGTATGGGGTCATTCAGCAGGGTCATTGTATGGCATTACAAAAACACCCTAAGGAACCTGCTGGCATTATGGTATTATTTATATTTGCTAACTTTTCTCCTACCTTTGATAAATAAGGCAGCTCTTTCAAGTGCAGCACATTCTTCAGAAAGAGTTCTGTGTAAGCTCACGCCCCGTCACAGGGGTTCCCTGGGGAGATGCTCACACTGGGCTCCTCCACGCAGCTGGGGCAGTCTGGGGCCGTGCCTGGCGCCGGAACGGGGACAGCCCTTGC